CCAGTTTGCAGGAAGGCTTCCTTCCGAAAGGCAAAGAACAAACAAAGTTGAGACTCAGTGAGAAACAAGCGCTCAGTTAAACTCAATGTGATCTCAGCTTGGCTAGAGGACAAAAGCTCAAAATGCAAAAATTTAGAATAGATTCAGCATAAACAAGGCTTGTCTAGTACCCCAAACTGGCAAACACTCTGGCGTCAAAGTAATGGCAACCAGCAGCTATATCCTCACCAGTGCTACCTCACATCTTAGTAAGTAAATCAGCCAAAATGTAAAGAAGAGAGCCAGAGACCTCAACACGTCAAAGTTAATTCTCTCAGGAATCATTTCTTAATGTCTGAAGGTACTAAAATCTGTCATGATCTTGCCCTTTTTGGACTCTTTGGTTCTGATTCAGTTGTCCTTTTTAGTTTACACTCACATTTTTATTCATGTCATTCTATGTTTTCTTGGTAACTGTTTCTTGTTGCAGTGTTGTGTTGTTTTTGTGTTGCCCCCTTCTGTGAGTCTCCTTTCCCTTAGCTTCAAGTTGCTTCTATCCACAGCTGCTCCCTATCAGCTGATTACTCGTCTTTGTTCTGTCTCCAATGTGCTTCCTGTGTAGTTCCTATGTGACTGTTTCTCTTCATTTCTTTGATCCTCATATGTGTTTCCCCCCTGACAACTGATTGGCTTTGATTATTGTTTATTTTTCCTGGATTTGTGTTTCTTTCTGTTGCCATTTAAATCTATTAAATCTGCAAGAATTCATCTCTGCCTCCTCATCTCTGCATTTAGGTTCTCAATCAGCTATAAATATAATTTTTTTGTTATTCAATCATTATAAACAAATGTGTCCTTCTCTAATGTATCATATAATCTTAGCTTGGCTCTGTATTTTGACATTGAAGGATGGTGAGAACGTACATTGACAGTGACGTGCGGAGAAGTAGGGGTGAATGTGGAACATTTCTCCTAGCTTAACATGACTGCACAAGAACTCCGCACGACATATGTGGGTGGAGGGGTGACGGAGGATGTGAAATCAGGGGGTTATTAGCAGAGGTGTCAAGTAATGAAGTACAAATACTTTGTTACTGTACTTAAGTGCACTTTTTAGGTATCTATACTTTACCCCATTCCTCATTTTCGTCCTACTTCTGACTTTTACTCATTACATTTTCACAAAAGTATCTGTACTTTCTATTCCTTACATTTTTAAAACAAACATTATTCTATACTTTGGTTTTTATGTTTATAAATATTTATTTTACGTCATGTGAGCCATCCGATGCAGATCATTGGCGCCATCCACATCAAGTAAAGTCACATTCACATCAAGTCATATAACACAAACACTCATTGGTTAGCCAAAGGAAATCATCAGAAGCAAGCAGGTGTTGTTCAAACTGCAAACGCTAATTGTAACATAAGCAACCATTTGGCCATGGCAGCTGTACATTAATAGGAACAAGTGATGTATATTAAATTTAAGCCTTCCAAAAAGTTAAGTACATAGAGTAAATCAAAGGACAGAATCCTACTGGGTAAGTATTTTACAGCAATAGGTTACTTCGCAAAACTATGATGAAAAAAAGGATGATGTGGAAATATTTAATTAACAGCAAGGAAGTTCAACATTGACCGATTTTGTTTGTTTTGAAACTAGCGGGCTTTTACCACTTTGGCTTTGCTCCCCTCTGCTGATTGGGTGATCAGCTTCAACTGCTTCAACCACCTCTACCTGTTAATTACTTACAAGCATCTTCACCTGGGTGCACAAATGCCTGCTTCCAACAGCCACTAAGCAGAAGGTTGTTCCATTGTCCAGATGAGTCAATTCCAGTGATGCGCACACTGTCTGTCTTCCTGTGTTGCTGAGGTCACCCTGCCCTCACTAGGTTCTCAGTAGCTTCTGTTTCTGGCCACAGCCTTTTTAGTCTTCATTTACCTTATCATACATGTTGCCAGCCTATTCATCCACCATCCACCTTCTCAATCCTGCTACCAGCCAGTTTAGATATCTGTCTCCGTTCCAGAATGCCACCAGCCGGTTCAACTTGCCAGAAATTAACTTTTAAATATACAGGAACACTATTAGGAAGCAAAATAGTAAATAAAGAAAATACGATACGGCCAATACCCACTGGGTTAGAGGCAATTTTTTCGGAATTTGAATCGACTCAGTTTAATTCAGTCGCCTTGTCGCCTTTTCTGTAAATAACTTTCTTGGTAATCCTCTTACAGTTCAAAAACAAAACAAAAACATGACTATTATGGTGCCTTCATCTGGTCTGGTAAAGATGATCTTTATCACTTGTAGTGGAAATTACCAACACATTGTGCTCAAGTGCTTTTGTTGTGATAGAGATGAGAATTATGTTGGATCCAAAATTATCCTGACCTGCTTCTTGGGCAAGACAGTTAAACTTTCTAGTTTATCTTTTATATTACAGGAAGAAAGGGATGCATCAAATGCATGGACTAACTGGTAGAGAGCATCTGATAAAATCAAACAATAATGGTCATTTAAAAAAAAACACAAGTTAGTAAAGATAGATAGATAGATAGATAGATAGATAGATAGATAGATAGATAGATAGATAGATAGATAGATAGATAGATAGATAGATAGATAGATAGATAGATAGATAGATAGATAGATAGATAGATAGATAGATAGATAGATAGATAGATAGATAGATAGATAGATAGATTGATTGATTGATTGATTGATTGATTGTGTGGGAGTGGTGGCGTTGTGGTTAGGGCATTGTATTTGCATCCCAGAGGTTTTGAGTTCAAGCCCCACTCTCACAGACTGCCACTCTGGGTTCCTGAGCAAGACCCTTAACCCCACACTGCTCCCCGGGCGCCGCACAATGGCAGCCCACTGCTCCCCAAGGGAATGGGTCAAATGCAGAGAGTGAATTTCGTTGCTTTGCACTTGTGACAGTGTACTGACAATAAAGTTGAATTCTATTTTTTTTTTTAAACACAAAAAAAAAACATACAGACATATAGATAGATATATGTCACAGGATTGTGTAGGCCAGTGTTTTTCAATCCTGGTCCTTAAGGCACCCTGCCCTGCATGTTTTAGATGTTTCCCAGCTTTCACACACCTGTCATCAATTGATAGCAGATTATCAGGCTTTGCTGAACTGCAATCATCTGAATCAGGTTTGCTGAACCTCAGAAACATCCAAAACATGCAGAGCAGGGTGCCTTGAGGACCAGGATTGAAAAACACTGGTGTAGGCTACAGTACAAACACAACAAGAGAGAACAGTTAATGATACAATATTCACCGTACAGAATCATTTCACTGCATTCTGCCATGTTGAAAGGTCAAAGTTTACCTCATCTCGACAACTAGGGTATCAGAATTTTCCCATTTTTCCAGTGGAAATTACAACATGTGTGGGTGTTCATGTGCAATTTCATAACGGATTTCGACTTATTAACCATAATTAGGATACTACATGAAGACAGCATTGTTTGGGTACTTTTAAAATGCACTAAGAAGTTAACAGAGATGTCAAGTAACAAAGTACAAATACTTTGTTACCTTACTTAACTAGAAATTATGGCTATCAAAACTTTGCTTAAGGAATCAGGTTTTAGACAACTTTTCACTTCTACCCTTTACATTTTTTTTCTTGCAATTATCTCTACTTTCTACTCCTTACATTTTAAATATAGACTTGTTAGTTTTGTTTCATTTAAGCTCATTTTTGTTAACTGGCTTGTAAAAGCAATCAAAACAATTTGATTCATCCAGACGATTAATTTCTTTGTTTGGACTCTTTAGTCCACTTATTGTTCGCCACATAACAAATCAAATTGTTTTTCAAGGTGATGCAAAGTTAAATTTGACACTGTTTCCATTAGTTAAAGAACAAAAATAAGTATAAGGCTCTTATTGTCCAGAATTGTAGAAAAATGTTTCTTTAACAAGGTAATGCATTAAAGCAAATGTCCTTAATATTTTTACTGTATTAATTTTACCTTTATACTTTAAGTAGTTTTAAAAATGGTTCATTTATTTATTTAGTCTTAACTTCTACAAAGGTGTTTTTAAACAGTAGGACCTATACTTCTACTTGAGTAATAAACATTAATACTTTTGAAACCTCTGGATGTTAATGTATCTCTCCTGTCTGTCTCTGAGTTTCCCTGTGATGGACTATATTTATCACAACCATATATAAAAAGTATAAATATGAGCTCCATAAATTAAAGGGAATATATGAGGTTATTCTAGATTATTCTACTGTCCACAACAGCTTGGCTGCACAAGTGTTTATCACTTGTCCCTTAAATGGGAACTCCTGGCACAGATCAGCGTCCATCATCCGGATTTAAAAAAGACTTTACACCCAAGCAGATTCACACACACACTCACAGATTATAAGTTTATCTCTTTGTGAGTTCTTTCTTCCATTCATTTCTAATCCATTACACAACCTAACCATGACCCTACCCTAAACCTATTCATTATGATTTCATACCTAATCCCTAACCCCAACCTGAAGTCCATTCATACCTTAGTCCTAGACGTCCTTCACTGGAAAACAGTAATTCCCTGATAGAGTCCAGACATCGTGCCCCACAACATGTTTTCCAGCAAATGTATCACAATGTATCCAATACAAGAACACCCACACACACAAGTACACACACAAATAATCAGTCCTAAGGGGAAAAAAAAAAACATCTGTCACTTCACTGCTTTCATTATCTGTCCCAGTCATGTCAGCCCTCTCCCATGTGTGTTAAAGACATCATCCTTATAGACCACTTGACCACTTGATTTTATGTTCGACATCAGAGCTTATACCTTACTCAGGGACTATGAGAAGCCTTAATCAAGTAACATTTTGCATAATTTTCTAAGTAAAAAATGAATTCCAACATACAGCTCAGCTGGTATTCCACCATGCAACTCCTTTGTCTTTTAGCCCAAACCTTTCAAAATAGACTCCTTGGAGCCAACCCCCTTATCCAAATCGTCCCATTTACCCTCCAGAGTCCGCACTGCCTGCTCACTATGGCGAAACATGATGAACCGTTCACCCCTATGGGAATTTCTCCTCCCAGCTTGCTAGCGTCAGCTAAATCTGTGTCCGTCAGCCTGAGTAGTTCCAGCAGCATAGTGGCAGCAGCCGTGACTTGGCTCAGACATCAGGCTGCCTCTCTCTGCTATTCTGCCTCAACTTGCCTAAGAGTGAGCACAGTGCATCTCGCTCTGCCTGGTCGTCAAGAAAAAGTTCAGCTTTGCCATTTCTTTGGCTTAAGAGCAGATGAATCTCCAGTTTTGGACTGAAAAGACAATGTAGCTTTGCTGTAAAAGAAGACTTTTTGAAGCAAACGGAAGAGTGATTTTCTTGTGCAGGGATGCCTAAACCCTCTCGGTGTCCACCCTATCCTTTAGCCTGTTTCTTCTATCCTTCTCTATTTAGACTTAGCCCTCCGGATCCCTTTGGCATGCAAAGGTCAAGTCAGCAGGATTTCTCTTCAATCAGTTCTTTTCTGCTGTGTTATGATCCCCTTCGTCTGTGCCACAATTGACCCAAAGGCTTCCCAGGCAAAACAAAGGGATTAACTATGAACTTTTCTCCCTTGGAGAGACATGGCTAAATAGTGGACTAAGTGATCTGTTCAAAGTCAATTGTGAGTATATTCATCCTTTTGTGTCTTTCTTTTCTTATTTTAAACCAGCTACTTTCCCCGTCTCAGAGGAATCATGACTGATTGAATGATTTTTTTATTAATGCACAAAGGCATGACCTGAATTAGAGGGGAAAAGACGTCATGTGTGCACCAGGGCATATCTGAGAGGAAATGTATTTTTAATGAAGCCTTTTTACCCTAATGAACAAAACAGAAGATGTGCTCTTGAAAGATTTGTGCTTTGATTCTTCTCAGATACATATCGTACACCCAACTGCACATGAATGTTTAGACACCACATAGCTTCAATTATCGTGTTACTATTAAATTACTAGGAAAAAATGTGTTATTGTATAGGTTGGTAAACTGCAAATACAATAAATTTTTTTAATTTATCTCAAATATCATTCAGTATTTTTTTTTTCATCTCTAATCTTCTAATCTTTAACCTTCATCCAACTGTCACATATTTCTATGAACAATATTAATCTGGAACTGGCAAACCCGGTTTTAAATCTCTTTTAAATTCCTCCTCCTGTTTCCTCTTGATTTTCTGTGTAAAATATCAAACATAGTCTTTTACCAGTTTTTTCTAAGTTTTACATTTCAAAAGCAATGTTTTTCCCCAAAATAGTAAACAATGATTTTTTTTTTAAGAGCAGCCAAGTCTCTTAACCCTTCCTTTCCTGCTTTTAGATTAACTTGAAATGACAATACAAAGGGGGATTATGCAGTGAAGCGTGATTTTAACGAGTTCTTCTAGTCCCCATGAATCCTTTGAGGTGTTACAGCTAATGTGGAAATGGTTCTGGGTCTCTTTTGAGAAAACCTGGTGAGGAAATAGTAATGGTTTGGTTGGTTTAAAGAAAAAGAAATTCTTTAAACTAAGAGTTTCTTATTGTGAGTTGGTTTGGTTTAAAGCAAGTTGGCAACAAAATCAAAACATGCACATGTAATAAAAAAAAAAACGGCTTATAGTTTAAACACAAATCATTTGATAATTAGATCATTACTGAAATGCACTGATACTTATAAGATATTGCGGATGCTTTGAAAAAGAAGAAAAAATCTCCTAGAGGCTTTCAGTGTTATCGTTTTGTTTCCTCCAGTAGCTGCTAAATCCAATGTGGAATATATAAGCGGATCATAATATTCATATAATGATCCTATTCATTGTTTCTCATCATGGGTCAAATCTAATTCAAGCTTAGTTGTGTCTTAAAATCTAAATAAGATGAAAAATTTGAAAACTTCTGGTTTTTGAATGAAATACAACTACTTGCTTTCATTTATGTTTTCTCTGTATATATTAGGCTAATATGACCCTGGAAGCTTTCAGAGCAATTAATATAAATGAACCTGCACAGTCTAGAATTAAGTTTGTATCCCAGAGAATATAACAAAACTTGACAAATAAGAAGACAAAAACCACATAAATGTGCAAAAAGTACATCTAAAAAGGACCTGTAAAGTTGGTAATCAAAAAGACAAATTTTAGTATTATTATACTGTAAGCTTAGGGTATTTACTTTTGGTCATCAATTTGTTCAAAAAGTTTATTTGGGCTTTCATGATCTTTGTTTTTATAAATAGGCGTTGTCATACGTGTCCATCCCTTAATTTTCAGGTGGGACATCTTGTTTATTCTGGCATTTTGTTCATATTTAACTGTCTCCTAGATGCCTGAAAGTTTTAAATATTTTATAGCTTAGTTTGTAATTTCTTTGTGCTTGTTTAGATGTCTGTGTGTTAATTACTAACCATAGTTCAGTCTGCTTCTGGTCCTACTCTTAAAGGTATGGTGGAGGATTTTCTTTTTCCCAGAGGATCATCAAAATAAGTGGTCCTCCTAATTGTCAATCACTCTAGTGATATATTTATTTAAGGCCATCCTACATGCTCTTCCCCATTTTCACTTACTGGTGGTGAGTCTGACATAGTGGAAAAATTGCAAATCTTCTTTGTATAAGCTTGTATGAGCGATGCAAACAGCAACTTTTAAACAGAGCATGCACGAAGAGAAATGGGCTTTTGCACACTCTGGCTCGCGTTTAATAGGTGGTCCCTCGCGGGACTGTGTATAGGGTATTTTTTTTTAAGTGGAGTGGGCGGTTCTTTTCAAAAATCCTCCACTATACCTTTAAGTTTATCCTGATAAGTTAAGACTTTTATTACAGTTCATGTATAAACAATTGTTAAAACTTAAATGAGGCCACTAATAGATATATCCTTTTGTACATGCAGAAGAAAAAATATATACAGTATATATAAAGTTTAGGACAGTGCAGGAACAATAATTTACTTCTTGGCTATCAGCTATTGTAATCTTGAAGATGTTGATGCCCCTAATCCTCTTTCACTTCTATTTTAGTGGAAGGCTAAATGCTATCTCAAACTAATTAAGGGCAACATTTTTCAAGAATGCCACATATACAGGGATGTAAATCATGGATCAATGTGCTCGCTGCAGAACACAACAACCATTTTGCCAAGGAGCTTGAAAATCATCCATGACCACCTTGCAGATCCCTTGGCTCCTCTGCTTAAACTCTTTTCCTTGTTGCTGACTATGTTTTCGGCTACCAGCTTAGTTGCAGCTTGGTGACCAAGGCAGGATTGTAAAGAAAGGTTACTGATGACTAGGAGCGGTGCATGGTGAGCGCCATCATGCAGAGCTGCAGGGCAGAAGCAGGGATGGCCAGGTGCCAAAGGGCCTCAAGCCAGCCTTCAGCGCCCTCACATGAAGGCTCAGCGTGGATTTGTGCTTCACAACCTATAAGCAGGGCACTGTTAACTAATGGATCAATGACCATTACTTATGCATAGAGAGCCAGCACAGTTTTTCAGGACATCTGATACTCTTAGGATGTAAAAGGAAGACTCATATTTCTTGGCTGTGGCAATGACATTTTCTTGTATCATTATACAAACACATTCAAAACAATGTATTTTATGTGTGGAATACATTTGAATTAATTTAGTCTAAGATGTGCAAATGCTTCTTAGTATAAGCATGACATAGTCATCATCTGCACAGTTGCTGCTTGCTTGTTTTTTTTTGTTGTTTTTTTTTTTTTGTTTTTTTTTTTTTTGGGAGGGGTCTGCCCAAACAAGGTCAGAAACCTTTCCTTTAGTAATGTGTCATGTGTGATTCTAAACAGCAGCAGCCAAATCCAGAAACAGGTCACAGAAGACCTTATACACTATTTATCAAGCTTTCCACTCTCCTGTTTCACAGACGAATCTTTAAATTGTTTACAATCTTGGTTTGCAGGGTAGTGGTGAACTTGAGTTTTTCCACCTCTTGAACTCATGACCACTGCTTTTTTTGTGTTTTTGTGTGTATCAGGCCCAAGTATCTGTCCGTACAGGATAAAATCTTTAATAAGCTGGGTTTATACTGAGGTGGCTATAATTACTGTTTACTTTATCCTGCTTTTGCTCCTCACTATGAAATTTCTCATGGGAAAAAAAAAATTACATTTAAGCTTTGGGTCTATATTGACTACTGACACTATAAAAACTATAGCCTCTCATATACAATAATACAATAAACAATTTTACATATACTTTTGTTTAAAATGGCTTAGGTTAGATCTTTAACCCCAAAGTCAAAGGACTTTTTTTTGTGTGGAAGATAAATGAAAATTATTATTACTTTGGTAAGCAGAAGGGTTTAATCAGTTATCTATGCATTAATTTGAGCTTTTAACCCTTTAGCATAATTTTTCTAACAGAAGCTTTTGTAGAGATTCAGTGAATCTCACAATGGAAATCTCTACTGTGATATCCGGCAGCTCTGTTAAGTTGCTCTCATTGATAAAACTCTGGCGCTGTCCATGGTACTGATTTAGACAGCTTATGTGTTAATTTCTTTTTTTCCTGTTGGAGTCATTATGACTTTTAATAGATCATATATATAAATTTAGAATGAACAAGTTAAGCTTTTCATCACATTTTGAAAGATCAAATAATCTAGGCATAAATCTAAAACATTACGAATTTAATGAACTGCAACTGCAGCTTTTATGCGCATTTCTTAGTATAGCTCAAGAACGACCCCTTACAACACTCACATTTTTATCCTTTCAAAAGAAGGCCATTTCCAATATCCTTTCTTTAATAATCCATTGTTTAAAAAAGGCTCATGAAAGCTGCAGTTGCTTCACTAGTAATAGGCTTTGATTACAGACATTTTTTCTTATTAGAAAACCTCTTGAATCGAGAGGCCTATTAAGTTCGATTCTGTTTTCTCAAGCATTGTTTTTCTGTTTTGTTAATTTCTAATTTTTTTATGCGTAGATTTGGATAATGTGGACTTACTTTATCTAACCCACTCTGCCACTTTTTAAAGAAAAACACAATGGACTCATTTAGCTATTTATCAATTTATTTTTCATATTATGATGAAATTCTACGTGATCAGTAGGGTTTGGTGTACAGCCAATACTTTTTAGAACCCCCTTTTGCTGCAATTACAGCTTCAATGCATTTTTCCACCAGCTTTTCAAATTTATATTAAACTATTTTAAATTAACTCTAACCAGATTTTTTTTTTTCCTTGCTGAAGAAAAAAATCCCAGGGGGAACTTGTTAGCGCAAACATCCTCCACAGTAGGAGAGAAATGTCAAAGTTGATGCCCGGTGTAATTCCAGCACCACAGCTATGGTTTGGCATGTAATCTAAAATTTCTTTTACTCTCGTCTGACAGGAGATGCTATGTACACGGTCTGTGTAAAACTTCGCCAGCTTTCCTCTAGTTTATGTTTTACATTCCTGTTAAATAGAGGGAGAATTTGGCAACTAAAACTGCTGACAACTTCTTCATGCTGAGTTCTCTAAAGCTATCATGGACTGCTGGAATAAATTAAGAAAATCATTACAGTATATTTTATAGATGAATAAGGTGACTGAATTTACATGCATTTCATTCTTATTTTTTTATTATTTTAAAACCATATATTATTGTGATTGCACATTACACTTATAGGTTTGTTTGCATTTGTCTATTATTAAAAATAGAGAGATTGGGTCACTTTTCACATGACACAAATTGAAAAGTTTGATACTTAGTATTTCTGAAAGGCAAACAAATTACAGATTGTGAAAGCCTACTCTAATTTTAGAAAGTAATTTTGTTTGGTACCTTAGAGACCATTTAACTTTCCTGATATGCAATTTCCTCAAACAAGGCAGGTCTGTATGAAATATGAGGGTAACATTGGTCAACAAGGACATGAATATCTGTTTGTACACTGAGTTTCCGAACCAATTCCCCTGGCAAGGTGCTATTTATTGACCGCTAAGGGGTTAATGTATGAAGCTATCAGTGCCTACATGTGTGAGTACTCTTTGTGACTGGCTGTAAAGTCAATTACCTTATTCTACATAGATTTCTTTCCTTATTTTTTTTTTTTTTTTTTGTTGTTGTTAGTTTTTTTTTTTTTTTTTTTTTATCAGGCTTTAGCTCCTTGTTCATTCTCACTGAAAGCCTTGGAGAGCCTTCATCATCCTATTAGTAGATTTATGGTCCTCTTGCATGGTCATTTTCAGCCATTTTGGACCTGGAAGGTCACATGGGATACAGAAGCTTGGCTGAATTGCAACAAAGGAAGGTCTAATTTTAGGATGATCGACTAGCACGGCTTAACACCCTGACACCATGGTGACCAAGTTGGCTGGAGTTACTCATGAGGGAGTGGAGATTCTTCTTGAGAAAGACAGAAGTATGTTACTGTTCATTAACTTAAATACCATACTAGTCCAGTTCAGCAGAACCTTGACACATAAGATAATTTCAACTTGCAAGGAAAGTAATCCTGATTTAAAACATGTAAGAAAGTCTTCACAATCAGAAACATATTGCATGTAACTATAGTTTGGTTTTACACTGTTACATTTAAATTAAAAAGCTCAAACCACTAGCTATCTAGTTGGCTTTTTTAAATAGATATGTCCAGTTTAGCAAAATAGCTTACAGTGAAAGGAGAAGCTGAGCACAGAAACATGTACTGAAGATTTATGTGGAGGGTCTCGGCTGCCCTCTACTGGTAAAACATAGAATAAGCCTTTATCTGATGAGTATTTTTTTTTTCTGTTTTCATGTTCTGTTTCACACTAAAGAGTATGTATGTAAAACGTATAGAGGTTGGTGCATATCATGTTTGTTTGATTTGAAGGGTTATTTATAAGGGAAAGATGTTTCTCCTTGAAAATGAATTGTTCTTTATCACATTTCTGTGGATTACATGAAAAATTAATTATTTATTTTGCACAGTCTACACATGATTACTGTTTCCCACGCTATTCTAAGTTTTTTCTAGACCCGATATCTAGTCTGTAGTCGATAGCTTGCTCTAAATGTGTTTCAGTTCATCTATAAAGAAAATTTGATTACATTGTTGACTTTTAAACTTTGACATATTTAATTGGCAAACTGTCTAGGTACCATCAGAGATATTTAATGTAGTCACGTTCTTTACTTAAGTGAAAATAAAGACAGCTTTGTAAAAAAAAAACAGTTTCTGAAACCAATTCAACTTCTTTATCTAAGTAAGAGTTTAATAAAAAGTACAGGTTCTAAGGTTTTCTTAAGTACAAAAGTAAACTGAAAATTTTGCCTGACATGGCACTGAGCAACTTTGAAAAACACAGTTCTTATAAAAACATCAAAAGTGAGGACATCAAAACTCTTGACTCTCTTGGTTTTTTTTTTGTGTTTTTTTTTCTAAATTAAAATTTCAAACAGGATAATACAGGTGCTGGTCATAAAATTAGAATATCATGAAAAAGTAGATTGATTTCAGTAATTCCATTTAAAAAGTGAAACTTGTATATTATATTCATACATTACATACAAACTCATATATTTCAGATGTTTATTTTGTTTAATTTTGATGATTACAAATGACAACAAATGAAAATCTCAAATTCATCATATCAGAAAATTAGAATATTGTGAAAAGGTTCAAAATTGATGGCCCCTGGTGCCACACTCTAATCAGCTAATTAACTCAAACCACCTGCAAAAGCCTTTAAATGGTCTTTCAGTCTAGTTCTATAGGCTACACAATCATGGGGAAGACTGCTGACTTGACAGTTGTCCAAAAGACGACCATCGACACCTTGCACAAGGAGGGCAAGACACAAAAGGTCATCGCTAAAGAGGCTGGCTGTTCACAGAGCTCAGTGTCCAAGCACATTAATAGAGAGGCGAAGGGAAGGAAAAGGTGTGGTCGAAAAAAGTGTACAAGCAAGAGAGATAACCGCACCCTGGAGAGGATTGTGAAACAAAACCCATTCAAAAATGTGGGGGAGATTCACAAAGAGTGGACTGCAGCTGGAGTGAGTGCTTCAAGAACCACCACACACAGACGTATGAAAGACATGGGTTTCTGCTGTCGCATTCCTTGTGTCAAGCCACTCTTGAACCACAGACAGCGTCAGAAGCGTCTTGCCTGGGCTAAAGAGAAACAGGACTGGACTGCTGGTGAGTGGTCCAAAGTCATGTTCTCTGATGAAAGTAAATTTTGCATTTCCTTTGGAAATCAAGGTCCCAGAGTCTGGAGGAAAAGAAGAGAGGCACTTCATCCACGTTGCTTGAAGTCCAGTGTAAAGTTTCCACAGTCAGTGATGGTTTGGGGTGCCATGTCATCTGCTGGTGTTGGTCCATTGTGTTTTCTGAGGTCCAGGGTCAACGCAGCCACATACCAGGAAGTTTTAGAGCACTTCATGCTTCCTGCAGCTGACCAACTTTTTGGAGATGCAGATTTCATTTTCCAACAGGACTTGGCACCTGCACACAGTGCCAAAGCTACCAGTACCTGGTTGAAGGACCATGGTATCCCTGTTCTTAATTGGCCAGCAAACTCTCCTGACCTTAACCCCATAGAAAATCTATGGGGTATTGTGAAGAAGAAGATGCAATACACCAGACCCAACAATTCAGAAGAGCTAAAAGCCACTATTAGAGCAACCTGGGCTATCATAACACCTGAGCAGTGCCACAGACTGATCGACTCCATGCCACGCCGCATTGCTGCAGTAATACAGGCCAAAGGAGGCCCAACTAAATACTGAGTGCTGTACATGCTCATACTTTTCATGTTCATACTTTTCAGTTGGCCAACATTTCTATAAATCCTTTGTTTTTATTGGTCTTCAGTAATATTCTAATTTTCTGATATGATGAATTTGAGATTTTCATTTGTTGTCATTTGTAATCATCAAAATTAAACAAAATAAACATCTGAAATATATGAGTTTGTATGTAATGTATGAATATAATATACAAGTTTCACTTTTTAAATGGAATTACTGAAATCAATCTACTTTTTCATGATATTCTAATTTTATGACCAGCACCTGTATAGTCTGAACTTAACAGAAGTATTGCATAGGCAACAGAGTACTTTGAGAGCTCTGGTATTCACAGCACTAAAGTTGCAAATAACAGTAAAACTGAAATAAAGCGTGAAGCATAATAAAATCTAATAAAGGGGTGGGTGGACGGGGAATGTCTTACAATTTTGATGCCAGTTTGGAGAGAGTAAGGACGAGAAAGTACAAATACAGCATTTTTGTACAAATGTCGTGAGTGACAGAAAAAAAGTTCCCAGAAAAATAAATACTCAAGTAAATTGAGAAAAGCAACATAGATATAGGAGACATATTAATAATTAATAACTAGACTTCTCTGGTTGCCATTGCTTGCATTTCTATGGACATCAGTGTTTGTGGGCTTCAAAATCAGCGATTCTTGATTTTCTGACTGACCAATCAATGATCAACATTAGTCAAGGTATAAATAGTATAATACTGATCAGCAGTCCAATTTTCTTTGCATTTTTTTATATTTTTTTTACCTGGTATATATTTATTAGTACTTTTGAATGTTAACAACAATTCCGGATAAATACAAAGGTACATTTAGAACTGGGTGCCTCATATGACTAGTCTCTCCCTCAACATATGAAGTTTCAACATTGCATAATCAAAATGTTAAAATGATGAACAGCTTTTCAGACACAACAGTAACCTTTCTTAATTTCCTTTATTCCAGAATATTTTTAAAATGGTAGAACGAAAGAAGATCATCATGGATGGACGCCTTTAATACCCAGAAGACCATGGAAGGGGAAAACCTGGTAAACTCCTCCAGCAATAACACAACGGACATCCATCTGGTTACTCATAGTCTTTGGGAGGTGATCACCATTGCAACTGTATCTGGCATTGTCAGCCTCATCACCATTGTGGGTAATGTTCTTGTAATGGTTTCCTTTAAAGTCAACAGTCAACTGAAGACAGTGAACAATTACTACCTGCTGAGTCTGGCAGCTGCTGACCTCATCATTGGAGTTTTTTCCATGAATTTGTACACCTCCTACATCTTGATGGACTACTGGGCTTTAGGGAACCTGGCATGTGATCTGTGGTTAGCACTGGACTATGTAGCCAGTAATGCCTCGGTCATGAACCTACTCGTGATCAGTTTTGACAGATATTTCTCCATCACTCGGCCTCTGACTTACAGGGCCAAAAGGACTCCCAGACGAGCTGGAATTATGATAGGATTAGCTTGGCTGGTATCTATTATCCTATGGGCTCCACCTATACTTTGTTGGCAATATTTTGTAGGAAAAAGAACTGTTCCTGCAAGACAATGCCAGATTCAGTTTTTCTCTGAACCTGTTATAACATTCGGGACAGCAATCGCTGCCTTTTATGTTCCTGTGTCAATTATGACAATTCTTTACTGTCGCATCTATAAGGAGACAGAGAAAAGGACAAAAGATCTGGCAGAGCTGCAGGGAGTTAATCATCAAATGGACTCTGGGGAGGCACAGCCTCAGAAGATCATCATAAGATCATGTTTTAGTTGTAAACTGAGATCATCTTCACATGATCAAAACCAAGCCTCCTGGTCATCTTCCAGCAGGAGCAATGCCAAATCCACTGGGTCCACCAGCGATGAGTGGACCAAAGCTGGTCAGCTGACCACCTTCAACAGCTATGCCTCCTCTGACGATGAGGACAGGCCGGTGTCTCCAGTAGGGTGCAAGACCTCTCTCCGGAACCAGGCTTGTGAAGCAAGCAGAAGTGTTATGGGCAGTGAGAGCGAGCAGCTTAGCAACTGTGATGATGAAAGCTTATTCCAAACACATACCAAAAGCAACTCCCAGAGGAGCAGCAAATGCTTGTCCTACAAATTTAAACCTGTGCCAAAAGATCCTCACCTGGAGCACCATAGCAAAAATGGAAACACAAAGTTGGTTTCTTCCACATTCTCCTCTGCCGAGTCTATGAGCGCTCCCTCAACCTCCTCTGTGTCTAAGCCTACAGATACGTCTCTGAAAAGCCAGATCACCAAGAGGAAAAGGATGGTGCTTATAAAGGAGAGGAAGGCAGCTCAGACTCTCAGTGCTATCTTATTGGCATTCATCCTTACGTGGCTTCCTTACAACATCATGGTGCTGATTTCGACCTTCTGCTCAGACTGTATCCCACGCTCCCTCTGGCACCTGGGCTACTGGCTGTGCTATGTAAACAGTACAGTAAACCCCATGTGCTACGCTCTGTGCAACAAGAACTTTCAAAAAACCTTCCGCATGTTGCTGCTCTGCCAGTGGAAAAAGAAAAGGATTGAGGAGAAACTGTACTGGCATGGACAGAACCCTGTAGTTAGCTCCAAGCTGACATAAGGGATTCTTTTGTGCTGATTCAGGGATTGTACTGACAATCTTGACTTCATAAACTTGCATTCGTCATGTAAGGTGAAGTGCATTTTATAGTGTCAATGAGTATGTCTCTTGTATTCAACAATTATAGCTGCTAATATCCTCCAAAAGTATCAATTCATAGTTCTTCTTCACATTTTGTCATTGACTTAATACGTCTGCGTATTCTCCACATCTGTGTATTCTGTACTTGGACATTACTGTGTGACAAGCCAACACAGGGTATTGCATAATGGTAAAGCCGAAAGAAAATGTTTTACAGGAAAATATTAGTAAATTGTGGCATACATTTTTTCTCCACCATTTGCTGCAATTAAGGCTGTGGTTATTTTGGAAAATGCTTTAATTAGTGATGCAAATGTAGAAATGGAAACATACAGTAAGCCCATCCAATTTAACACAGACATTTTACTGAACAGAGAGAACCAATGAAAGACAAATGTTTAATGGACTGAGAGAAAGGGAAAATGATTAGGATTCTATCTTTTAACAAAACTGCTCCCCCACTGAGGTTTTTAGACTCACCAGCAGGTTTTCTTCTGGCATTTTCTAACTTTTACCTCAATAAATTGCAAAAGCTTCCCAAAGCTTGCTTTTATAAAGTCATTCCTCCCCCTATGCTCCCTAACAAACCTCTGAAACTTTTGGAGCATTTGTATTATACTTGGATGAATTGGATTTTATATTGGGATATTAAAGTAAATCAGGAAGAAAACAAATGCTTACCACACAGAATATGTAAAACGGTTAAAATCATGAGTAGTATTCCATCCTTTTCACAATTATGCTCACTGTTCTATCAGATACATTTCAGAGAACAAACCACAGTTCAAGGATGTGATCTGAAAAAAATTTGATACTTCAAATAAGATGCTGTAAATATGTTAGTGCTACTTAAAATCACATTTTCTTTATCATAAGATTTATAATTAAGGTCTGATGGACTTTTTGTAACATATTAGTTGTCAAACACTTGATTTTGTCGCCCAGAAATGCCCAAACTGTTTAAATGAATTTATGTTTACAGTTACAGATTTGATTTTGAAGGGCTATTTTAAATGTTCTAATCTTTAAGTATTTTTACATATGAACTAAATAAATTAAACAAAAAAATAATAGCTGACAGCTTTTTCTCTATCCTTTGTAAGTGAATTAATTTTAGATGTGGCTTCATTGGTATAAAAAAAATTACCTTTTATGCTGAGGATGAATTTTAAGACAAACGTATAAATCAAGCAACTTGGTATTATTGTCAATGTTTACATTAGGAGGGAGGCTTGGGAATTCAAATTTCATTACTTTCATCCTCAGGATTTAGCCTAACTCTGGTATCAAAAAAGGACCTTTTTTTCCTAAAGATTGTTCCTAAATGCTGCTAAATTATTCTTTTAATTTTTTTCTGACAAACATATTGTTGGGATTTGTTTCACAGAGTTTTCTGCAGTATAAGCTACAATGTTACAGAGTTCTACAATAATTTGGGGGATTAAATACATGCTTTGCTATGACTGTATATATATATATATATATATATATATATATATATATATATATATATATATATATATATATGTAAAGATGCGTATTAAAGATAAAAGAATATCTTAATCTATACTGTTTTTTTTTTTTTGCTTTTTTACAGTGCTTCAAGTATAGTGTTTTAACGTTGTTAATGTTATATATTAATAAAATGTGTGGAACTAAATATCCATCTCAGTGCCTACAATCAACAAAGGCACGCTTGTATGTATTGTTGTATATGGATTTTGGCATAATTCCTGAGAAGGTCTTCAGAGCTCATCTTTCTTGCAATTTCCACTGTGAATCACTTTAACCGTCTCTGAAGGTTTCACCATCATCCATGCATACTTGCACAGCTTCTCCTTATTGCAGTCTTTTTGCCAGTAAATCACATTCCTACGATTCAGATTTGCACCAGCACAGGCATCATACCACCATCCCCCTCCTGGTACACCTTGAAACTCCAACTTGGCACAATTTTGAAAGTAGTTGTCATTGTCTCTGTCTTTAGTCGTAAACTTTTGGTTGTCATGAAGGTAATTTTCTGTATCTAGGGTCAAAGCATCCAGAGCTGTGCCCTGGAATAACCCTAGCCTTAACCTATAACCTGTGGATTCTTCCTCCACTAGGAAGGGATCATACTCTCCCGTCTTGGTGACGGCGTCTTGGTCTACAAGCTTCACTCCCAGTTTATAGCGGGCGGGGCCACGAGTGAGCTGATAAAGGTATTCATTTCCCAGCCAGTGATCCCCCGTGACATCTCCAAAGCCTTTCTTGTATTCATCCCAGGTGCGATCAAAATCCACACTGCTGTTAACAGTGATATGCTGAACCACTGTCCAGCCTCCTTCCTGCATGGCACAGTAGGCCACAATAGGGAGGTCATGTGGTTTGATCAAATAAACCCCATCTCTGGCCGTGCCTGAGGATGCCATCAGCATGTCATAGCAGTCTCTGGGCAGCACTGTGGAGAAAATAAAAAAATAGGTCCAAAGCTTTTTCACATCTTCACAACATTGATTTTGAATGCGATCAATCAGGTTATATAAAATAAAGCAACACAAAGTTGTGAACAGTATTGATGCATAATGAAAAATAGGGTTTACAAATAAAAAAAAAGTAAATCTTAGATAGTGTAGGATTTGGAGGATATTTTCTTAAAATAAGTGCATTTTTTCTTGAATTGAGGAGGAAATTGAGATGCTTTGCCAATGGAGCAAGACAATTTACATTTAAATGAAAAAAATTGCTTTTATCTTATTTCAAGTTTATATTTTCTAATTATGAGTAAAAATATTAATTCCATTGGCAAATCATCTTCTTTACCTACTAAAATTAAGTGTAAATACACTTAATTTAAGACATTTTCATTCATTTCTGATCATTTTTGCAGTGTATCTGTTCTTTCCCTTTTGTCATTTTTCTGTAGAGAACCGAATCAACATTTTGATCTTTTATAAAAATGACTTTCACTTTATTACTTATTGCTGAAGTTTTTAGATTTACATCAATTGTCTTTCCTCGGATCCTAATGTAAGTGGCCATGTGTTTGAAAAATTAGTTTACTATCACATCCCTTCTACTGTTTCTTATCAGTACTGATTTTTATGTACTCAGATTAAAAAAAAAAAATTCTTTTGGAGAGCACCTGGTAGAAAGGCTGAATACTGGTCTTATCTTAATGACACCTCAGAAGTTGTTTTCCAGTTTTTAGACATTTTGGTAATAGCCTAGTCTGCCTTGGAATCAAGGTTATTTCAACAAATGCTTTGGTTTGTGAGAAACTATCTACCGGTATGTAAGAAACTGTCTATTTTCTGTGTTTCTCAAGAAGTTTGGTAAAAACTGTGTGATTTAGAACAGGCAAGGGAATATCAGTAAAACTGTATCTGTTCTCCCTTCCAAAGGTAAAATAACATGCTGGCTTGAATTAATAATATCAGATCTCAAATTCTTGATAAATAACACTCAGACAGACATTCTTTTCTGTCACCAGTTGGCGTTTGTTAGGAGGATCCCCTAGACTGATTTTCATGGTAGCAGATATGACAGAAGTGTCTGATCAACCTGGGATTATGTCCTGGTCTCAATCCACATAGAGCTTTTAAGGATGGAGGACTTCTGACTTCATGTTTCCAGGGATCGGCGGGAGATTCCACACTGAATTTATATATATTTTTTTTTGGATGGTGAGAAATCTTCAATCAGCATGTCTCAAATATTTTTAGATTTAAAGTTAATATAGATGTTACACTTTATACTGTGGTCAAATGTAGATTTGGGTTTTCTAATTGTGAAAAAAAAAGTTCCTCCACAGGGAGGTGAGAGTTCATTCATAGGACTAGCATTAATATGGGTAAAATACTATATGAGGATGGCTGTAGGTTTGTCCAATAGATACTTGATTTTTCTTACTTGTAGATTTAAGTAATCTAGAGAAGGGATGCCCACCAATTATCCATGTTGGCCCCAATGTATGGGTGTGCATATTAATTTTGGGTAAATTACTTGTGGATAATGGGGAAAAAGTTGCAGTTCCAATGGAATGAAAAAAAGAGGCAAGGTTCCTAGAAATCACCTCAGCCCCAGAGAGAAACAGGTTAAGATTAGCCTAATTTAAAAGCAGTGTTTAAACCTTACATTAATTGAAGTGACAAAGGTAATTATTTTTTTTATAATTTTGATAGTGCTTTTAAAGAAAGGAAAACTCCACCCCTTTATTCTGAAATAATATCTCAATTAATAGCTAATTACTTTAAGTTTTTAAAGTAATGAGGGTGAAATGATAAGGTGAAATTAGAAGCCTTTAAAACTAATGAACAAACTGGAGGAATTGATGTAAAATCAATTTAAAAGGGAAAACGGAAAAGTGGGTTTTGAAATCAGATGAGAGGTAGAAAAAAAGACTTGGAGTCGGTGGCAGAAGGATTATATGGGGCAATGAGATGACATTCCTTTCCTGAAGTGGCTTCTTCTTTATATGGTAACGATGAACAATTGAAACATCTGTCTTCCTTACACCAACCTTTGTTTTTGTTTTGTTTTTTCTGCCCTCTCATGCATATTCCCTCATCTTAGTGGACCGGTCTCTTAATGCTGAATTCAGACCTGGAAGGGCTGCCCCCCCATTCATTGCACCAGCTCACATGACACAACTGCCTGCAGCCGTCAACCTTCCTCTGCCCTCATCCAGTAGCTGTTTCTAAACTCCCACCCCCCAACACCTACGGTATACACTTAAGGACATTCTCATTTCTCAGTTAAGCAGTTTTCAGTTCTCTTGGAAAAAAGTTTCAGTTCTTAGGAAAAAGATAATCAGTTCTCAGGTATTAGAAAAAAATCATGGTCAGTTCTCAGAAAAAAATTTGTAATTTCTTGTAATTGGTAAATGGCATGTACTTATATAGCGCCTCTATTCAAGTCAGGAGACTTGACCAAAGCACTTTAACCCATTCATGCACACACACTGATGGTGGCAAGCTACATTGCAGCCACAGCTGCCCTGGGGCTCACTGACAGAAGCGGGGCTGCCGTACACTGGCACCTCCGGGCCCTCTGACCACCATCAGTAGACAATGCAGGTGAAGTGTCTTACCCAAGGACACAACGACACTGAAAACGCCACTGTCGCCCGAAACGTTTATTCTTAGAAAAAACTTTGTCAGTTCTCAGATATTAAGAAAGACTTTGTAGGTTCTCGGCAGAAATGTTGTCAGTTCTTAGGAAAAACACTAGACAGTGAGACCAAAAATGCGTTTTTATGCACTTTGTTCTCTTTCCTGTTTTCTGTCCACATGGATTCTGCCACAAGTGAGAGCAAGCTCACATAGCGAATTATTAGGGCCAGGGGTTTAGTTCAGATGAAGTTGTAAGTGTAGTTTTCCCCACATTTTTGTCACTGTGTCCATGACACGATGAATGAAGCTTGCTCGTT